GGCGAAAAAAAACATAAAATACTGAAGAACAGGACTGGGAGGTGGGGGGAGGGGGATGCAAATAAAAGGCGCATCTCAACAAACAGAGAGCAATGACAGCATGAGGGTGAGAGGTCACGGTCAGTGTGAGAACAAGGAGGTAATGCGCGGAACACACACGCACACACACGCCAGACTCCAGCTTACAGTTCATGCCAAAATCGTCGCATTCATCTGCTGTAGCTGAAAATGCACGGGAAAGGCGCTGTTATGGGCATGTAGCAACAGTGAAATGGACAGACAACAAAAGCGATAAGGTAACAAATGATAAGTGAATGGGACAGAATGTTGTAGATGTGGACGGGGGGAGGCGTATCCCCCTTAGGTGTACAAGTCAGGAGCATCAATTGCCATGGTTGCTGAACTCCAGTTGGGAGGAGTGCGGTAGTAAAGGCCGCAGCAGGTAGAACAAAGTATGAACACCTGTCAGTGTCGTTAGCTAGAGCTCCGACCACAGCAGGATATGCAATATCCAACTTTGTCCTGCAATTGGCCCGCCGGTGGGACCGTTTCGTATAGTGTCTACAATCGAAGGTAGACAGCTCTATCCATCCGATGGGAACAACAGTCCAAATTATTAGCATTACGATGAAAGGCAAACAAGGATCACCACTTCGTAAAACTGCCACACCTCCCGAAGTTTTTATTGGTAAACAGGATGACAAACCGATGGCCAACCATACCCTAAGGGTCGCAAGTACTTGTTTGCCAGACTCCAGAGCTCGCCAATTCCGCAACTACAGCGAACGCCACTCCAAACTGACTGCGTACTCCTAGCGGTGGCCGACAGATGAGCATTACAACTCAAGTGGTAGATCGTTTTTTTTAGTGACCAACTGATGGTAGGTCCGGGTCCACTGTTCTCCTAGCCTGGAGTTGGGGTGTAGCTGGCTGACGAGGGCATATAGGCCATCAATTAGTATCTCATTCTCCTTTATATCTGTCAGCAACACTTGCAGATTAATGGAAAGGGCTGCATTTTTAGATTAGTGCGATGCGATTGCAGGAACAGGATATTTACTAGCGCGAAGTTTCGGGATCTCAATGGAATCCTCCAGCGGAGACAGCCGCAGACAAGGGGTGATGAATGTAGACATAGAAGTTTTAACCTATCAATACGGAGTCCCTTGTAGATCCATCATCCCCTATCTGTGATTGTCCCCTAAGACGGATTCCACAGACAGTCCAAAAGGCTTTGATTCAACGATCGCACCTCATTCTTCTAAAACTGCTCTGTCTGGGACTTGCTTGTATCGGACATTTGTATTCTCGTAGTCCTCCTAGCCACTTATATACAAGGACACTGTCGTCAGAAAGCATACAGCCCGTAGAGTTTGCACGAGCAAACTGCGAGTGTCCCAACAATGTGCACACGCACAAATTGCAATGGCACACTCAAAGGGAAAGAAAAAACGCTCAATGCTTACAGTAAAAAGAAAAAGTAGTAGATGATAGACAAGAAAAACATCAGCACATGAAAGGATAAAAAAAAACAACTTCGAAGACTAAATGAAGACTAGTTAGGAAGTACCGGAGGAGATCAAGTCTTCCGTGTCGTCATTCTGGTCCACCGAAGGCTGACCAAAAAACTGCGCCTCGTAGTCTGACCTGCAGCAGAAAACAATAATAAACAATATTAAGCACGCAGACTAGACAGCAATTAGCCAATTAGAAGTTCCTCTGCCTCTTGCAAGAAGAAGGTGCCTATGCGATAAGCCAAGAAGGAGGAACAAAACTCACGGATCTTCCACGAGGAATCCAGCCAGATCCGTAAACATATCAGGGTTCGCAGATGGAGCATTTGGTTTTTTCTGATAAGGGGTAACCACTCTTGGAGAAATCACCTCTAAAGAAAACCAAAATATTGTGAGACACGGAAGACAGTCGTCAAAATAGTGCAATGCCTCAGAAAGAAAATCTGGTACTCGAGGTGTTAACGTCTGCCTTAAACCGACGAGAATACTGTCGTAGTACACATTGAAGGTCGTCACTGAGCCCAGGATGATGTGAGGTTGGAGAAAGGCAACAGCAAATGAAACAAGCTAAAGGACCGTCAAGGACGCTGGCCACAATTCCTGTATATCACCGAGACCCATGTATAACAAGCAAAAGTTAAAACGAAACGTATACAATCCCGAGTCCAATGGCTCCTAAGGAGGTTCTAATCGTCCATCTCCAGTCCACTATAAGCACCACACCCTGAATCATATCAATCTATGTTACCCTTATATAGTTTTCGTTCATTCGATAGCCAAGGCCGTCTCAACGTCAGCGGGCGTGGGATCTAACTGGCTCGTGAAAGGGAGAGCGGCCGTGGTAGCGAAACATGGCAGTTGAACAACTAGTAGCAGTCATTATTAGAACGGACATAGCGATTGTCCATAAAGCTGGACATCCGACGCCCTATAACACGTAACACAAATAATGTGCTTAGCAAATGCTAGAAGAATGGAGAGAGTAAAATATATTACGCACCTTTTTAAGAAATACAAAATGTTACTGGGTATCACAATGCCAAATGGTATTTTCGGGGCTGTCTTTCCTATTTCTGAAATAGCGCGGGTTGCTTTAAATGGCTGTGCGTTCAAATGCACCTATGCTGGCTTACGATGGCCATGAAAGGGGGTAGGTTGATTAGATGTGGGACCAACAAAAAGACTGGATAGGACAGAAATGTATGTTAATGACCTGTGAGGTAAATAGACCCACCTTCCTCTGGCATCTCAGGCTGCTGGGAGGCCTACAACACAGACAAAAAGCAAGGACAGTTAACGAGATAGAACGCCAAGGAGTATTTTGCACCTACCGTCAGTTGCTGGTCTTATGAAATGTTAACCGAAATTCTGAAACACGCTTTTGATGAGGAAAAATTACTTAAGTGAGGTGGTAATATCGAACACCGTACGGCATAATCACATGATGTTTCAGTCACGAGAGAAGGCCGACTTCTGAATGACCTCCTCTTTGACCATTAAGAAAATACCATACAGGGCTCAAGCAGTTTTGCAATGGAGCTGGACTATGTTGTATACTTCATGGGGAGCAATAATAAACGGACAGGTACGATGCTATCTGAATCGACTTTTCACGTTCTTAAAGAATCACATAACTGCAAACGTTTCAAAATCAAAATATGTTATTTCTTCGGGGGGAGAAAACTTTAGGAAGACGTATGATTTGCTACCAAATGAGCACAAGGAAGGATATTTTTGAGCATGTTTTCAATCAAAACTATTGGAATTTATAAGAGCACCGAAAGTCAGTGGAAAACATGCTTGTTAATTAGGCACTCATTTCTGCCGAGTGTTGTCTTTGCAAGCGGCCGAAAAGAGACTCATTCAAAAGCCGGCCTCCTACCGTGATTGAAGCATTTTGGAATTATACTACGGGATAGTCGGTATTACAACCCCACAACCGCATACAGTGCTGCTAACTGAGGAATTTACCGGACACACCATCAGCCCAGTGTGTGAAATGGCTGATGAGTATGGGCAATACCTCTCAGTCGACGACTGAATGGTTACCCTGTCTCTGAAGGGTGAAGGCCTAGGCTAAGTGCAAGGCAGTTCCATCGCCCTTCAGAGACTTAAGGATTGTGTGCGTATGCAAAGCCGCGCTTCAGCAAACCATGGCCCCTGCGACGTGGTGTGCGCTGGCATTTTTCGTGGATCAGATTCCC